ATTTTAGGTTGGTAGCATACTTTGATAAACCCCTCAAAATATTCAGATTTTTCTTTTCATGCAACACCTGAGAAAGGTAAGCATAATTATTTCCATTTTACAGATAGTAAATAGTGACTTAGAGGGTTTGAAGGATTTATACCAGCTCCCATTGGTAGTAAGCCCCTGAATATGAATCAAATGCCATTTGATTCCCCAGATTTTCACTTTTCATCAATAGAATCTAAGTGATTTTTTTGGGGGGGATACATGAAATACAATAAATTGTACATACAAAAAGTGTGGATTTGACAATATGTACACGTCCACTTAAAACTGCCAGCATATACGCCACACTCTACAAGATCTCTCCATCCTCATATTTCCCTTTTCTCACTCTACCCTTTTACCCCTACTACCTTGGTTTGTTTTCAGCCACTATAAGATTAACTTGTACTTTTAGAGTTTTATATAAATGGAAATGTACTGAATGCATTTTTTTATTTGGATACTTTCAGAATAAATATTTGAGACTCTCCCAGTGTTGTGTACCTTTTTACTGCCTGTGAGTGGTTCAGTTCATTGTATTTATAACATATTTTCATCCATCCCTTGTTAATAGACATTTAAATTATTTCAGTTTTTGCTTACTTGAAATATTATTAATTTCCTCTCACCTTGCCTCAAATTTTGTATTGCTTTTATTTTTTTTATGTTCTTTTGTTTATGTCTGTGTGTTTATTAATATGTTTTGGTTCCTTTATCATTAAAATAATTTTTTTTTTTCTGGTACCGGGAATCGAACTCACAACCTTGCACTTGCCATGCAGGCGCTGTGCCTCTGAGCTAAATCTCCAGCCGCTAAAATAAAATAATTTAAAAAATAAAATTTGTAAGAAAATTGATGTACCTACCAATTGCTGTATAGACATACACTTTCTTTTCTTTTTAGTAAATATCGAGGAATGGAGTGGCTATATTGTGTATGTTAATGTTTTCCTTTTTGTTTACTTAATTTTTGATAATACTGGCAATTGAACCCTGGGCCTTGTGCGTTATTATTACCTTTTAAAGAAATGGTCAAACTGTTTCATATATTCCCACCAGTAGTGCCTGAGCTTTCCAGTTTTACCATATCCTCTATACTTGGAAAGATAATGGTTTTTTTGTTTAATTTTAATATTTTGATCTATCTACCATTTTTCAAATGATAGTAACAAATTAAAGGATATTTTGATTGGGAGATGTAAATATTCAAGCTAGGATAACATTAGACAAAATTGTGAAAAGAATAAGGAATTTATTGACATATACATAATATTGCCATTATTTTTGATTTTGTAAATATTTATATTTAACCAATTGACAACTCTTAAAATAGGATAGATGTTATTTATGAGTTCTCTTCTTATAGCTTTAGTGTCACTTATAATTTTCTAATTCTTATACATTTTTAGTGTAGTTTTAGATGTGTTTTAGCTTTTTTGCTGTTATGAATGTTTCTAATTATATTATATAATTTTTATGTTTTATAATTTATTGAGGTTATTCATTGTGTACAGAAACACTGCCTCATACATTGTCTTTGAAAAACTCATTTCCTTCAATGCTTTATACCCTGATTTGGATTTTCTGTGGAAGCAATATTTTTTTTTCCTGCACATAATATTTCTTTCATTATTTCAAATTCCACACCTCCCATTTCTTTTTTGTATTGTACTGAATTAAGATTAAAATTTTTTCAAAGGGAAACATGGAAGTGTCTCATTAATGTTCATTTTGGATCAAAGAGACATACTGTGGTGCCTTTACAAGACTGAATTCTAGTCTAAAATTTTTGTTATCTATGTGAACTTGACCAAGTAATTTATTCAACTGAGCTTCAGATTACTCATCTGAGAATAGGGATAGTGAAATATTTGCTACCCCACTGTACTAGGGTACTGTGAAAATCAAATTAATAAAATATATGAAAATAAGTTTAAAACTGTGAAATGACCTGTAGGGATTGAATTCCACACCTGCTATGAAGGAGATATTCTATCTGTTCATTTGCAGGATAAGTCAGCTATTTATGCTATAGTTTACAAATTTATTAGCATGCATAAGAACTGCTTTGGTTTTTCAATGACTGGTCCAGAATCAAGTGTAAGAAAATTTAACGTGAGAAATTAACATAAACAACAAGAAAATCATAGCAGTTTGGGAGTTCAGAAAAATGGTGAAAAATTTCAAAAGTAGATGTATTTATTTCATAAATGTATTACTATGTTAGAACACTCTTGAGAATAAGACATTACCTTAGTTTAGAAATTAAAAACCAGAAATATGAAGTCTGGTCACTATAAATGACATATGATGAGTCCACGAATCAGTATTACTCTTATATTTTGGTGATCTATAGGAACTCTACCCATAGATCAAATATTCTAGGTAGTTTTCTTTTTCTTGTTTAATAGGAAAATGCAAATAGAAAGTTATGTGGCTACATATTCTAGGTAAATAGACCAGTGAATGGTGAATTACTCATCAGACTGGTCATCAAGAAATTGTTCTGATCTTTGAAGACCTGCATTCTGACCATTGAACATTCACTTTTGTTGATCAAAGGCAAACCACTTATCAAAAGAAGAAAGAAAAACTAGGTCAAAAGGTGAAAAACAAAATGAGGAACAAACTGAAAGAAAGCATTTCTCCTTCCTAGTCATTAGCTAATCAGAGGGTGTTTTTAAAAACATATTTTCTTTTTTTTTTTTTTTTTTTTTTTTTTTTTTTTTTTT